CTGCGGGAGCGCGTGTCCCCAGGAGCCGGGCAGACAAGCAGAGTTTAGCCCCTGTGATAATTTCTCCTACTCAAGCAGCACTCAGCTACATTATGGTGAAGGAGGAAGTTTTTAGGAGGGAAAAAAAAAATCAAGGGAATGTATCATGTATGATTCTGATCTGCTAGGCATTTCATTTTCTTCAAAAATGGGAAGGTAATTATTTCTTACAGAAGAAAGCGCCCGCGTGAAGACACTGGGGAATATAATTAGACAACAGGGATAATTATGGGGTTAAAAATAGTAATTGAGAAATAAAACGATCTGGGGGGAGACGCTGTGGAAATGAGCCGGGGCGGGAGCCGTCGGGCAGCCGGCTCACCTGTAGCACACATTGTCGGTGCACGGGTTGTGCACCCTGACGATGACGAAGACGTGTTGAAAGTGGGACCGGATGCTCTTTGGAGTGAACGGAAGTGCTCCGGGCTCTTGGAAGACAATGGTCACGATGTCATTTCCTATATGCCTTTTCCTCAGGAGCTGCGGGCGGGACAGAGAACACACACACAGTTACACAGGAGGTTTTCTGTACAAACAGATTATCAGTGGCACAATGAGCCCGTCTTTCAGCAAAGGGAAGTCATTGAGAAGCAGGGTCCTCTGTGGAAGCCAGTTCCTGCCTGGGCCACAGGACAGGACCTGGGAGAAGAAATCCCACGCTATGTCCTGCTCCTTCAGCTTGCACGCTCTCTCCTTTTACCTTTTATTGATGTCAGAGAAGAAGGAAGAGGGAGAGAGAGAGAGAAACATCAGTGATGAGACAGAATCATGGATCGGCTGCCTCCTGCACGCCCCACACTGGGGATCGAGCTCACAATCTGGGCATGTGCCCTGACCGGGAATCGAACCCTGATCTCCTGGTTCACATGTCGATGCTAACCGCTGAGCCACACAGGCCGGGCTCCTTTTATCTTTTTACCCTAAAACAATACACGTGAGAGATCAACATACTTTAAGGAATTCCAAAGCTCTTTAATTCAGAGGAGACAGAATCCTCACTGTGGCCTCGCTCGCCTGCTCCCACAGTAAGGTAAGTTTCTGCAACAAAAGTGCACCACCCTGTTACTGTGGCGCTAATATAGTCAAACCA